GTCAGTAATGTCTGATGGAGGTTTTTATGGAAAGCAGAAAAGAAACTAAACAAATTAAGATATATGAATTGTAAAGTGACTTTGACGAAATTCATTTGATGTATAATTTATGCTTCATTACTTTTCTATGGAAAACTCATGAAGTATTTCATGGAATTATAAAAATTAAACTGTGTGAACATTTTTACTATATGAAAGATGGCTGTATAGTGAAACGCAGAAGTCACAACACTAAAGATTTTTCGAAATAATACTCTCAATATTATTTATTATTGATAGCACATGAGTTTAAGAAAGTTAGCACAATTAAGAAGATTTACTTCTAAGTGAAATAGGGAGTTGAAAAATAGAGAATAGAAATCTAACTAGGAAAATCTGGGGTGCCTGGGTGGCTCAGTTGGTTAAGCATCCAGCTCTTAATTTTGGCTCAGGTCATGATCTCAGGGTTGTGAGATCAAGCCCCTATTCTGCTCTGTACTGGGCGTGGAACCTGCTTAAGAGTCTCTCTCTTCTGCCTCTCCTTCTGCCCCTTCCCACCTCCCTCTCTTAAAAAAAAAAAATTGAGATCTATGTAGGAAAATCTTGTACAGTAAAGAGAATTGAATTAACTGAAAAATGACACAGAGTGAGGAAAAGGTAATATTTAGTGTTTAAAGGAATGTTTATGCTTTCGGAAAAATCTTAGAGTGAACATATTTTTATTACCTTTCCAGGACTATAAAAAATAATTAGAACCTGCATATTTAACATTTCCAAAAATTTGTTGGGGAGAAGTTTTTCCCTTGAAAGATTCTGGAATGATTTTCATGTCATAGAATTGTGTATTATTCCCTTTGTCTGCTTAAAAAGTACATCAAAAATATCAGAAGAAAGATTAAATCTGTCTAAAGTCATGTCTGCACAAGACCAAGTGCACTAGATATTTGGTCTCTATGTAATTAATGTAATATTTTTTCTACCTATATGTCACTTTGCATCTTATGTTTTTGCCTAAGTGGTAATGGAAGCAAATTACTTTTTGGCAAATCACGATTTTCTTACAGATTTTGGACCAGAGATGGTTATGGGCTAAAGACAATATGATAAGAAGACAGAATGTTTTATGTTCTTACTCAAATGCTGAGCCTTTTCTTAATGGAAAGGAATATGTAAGCTTCAACATGCTTGAGGATTCTCTCTTTCTGAATAGATTGCAGTCTAAAAAGAGGAGGTAGGGTCCTTTGTGTAAGTGCGGCACTATAGGAGACAACTCAGAGCGGAACTGCAGTAAGGAATTGGTAGCACTTCTCAAAGCTGGTCTTTGCTTCAGGAAAAATTCGATTAGGATACCACACTTTTTTTTTGTTTTTTTTTTGCCAAATCATATGTAAGTTAACCTGACATCCTTTTATACCAAAAACTGGCTACTAAATACTGCCAGTTTGTAAAACTAAGAAACATACTTGTCAACTCTGACACCCCAGAAATAGCAAAAGAAACCGAAAAGGGGCAGGAGAGGGTAAAAGGCCTTATTAGTGATCTACATGAGACATTCTCTTGGATGTTGTTGATAGGGATATTGTAATTATAATTAAGTATCTTCCTGGGGCCGACACTTTGTTCCTTACTGTTTTTATTAGGTCCTCTGGAAGATATAAGTTACCCTATTGAAGCAAGCAGCATTTTCCCTTCTATACATAATTGATAAGCACGTACTCACTAGACAAACCAGATAGACTGCTAATCCTGAGGCTTCCTGTTTACAGCCCCAAGAGATACCACCTATTTTTAACAAGACACGTTGGTCAGGTGAGATTTTATGAAGAGAACCAAACTTTATTCAATCTTCTGCTCTTTTCTTCCATCATTATTGTTCATTCACTTACTCAATGAGCCAGCTATGGAACCAACCAAATATTCATTGAATGCAACTCTGTACCTTCTCTCTTTGAATATGCTAACTGCTTGCTTTCCTTCCTCATGAACCTCATTATAAGTTATCAGATTATAATGAACAGTTTGATTATAATGACGATACTCTTCTAATAGTACCACATCCATTTATCACCATTCTCTACTCATCTTCTATTGCCTTTTGGCGCGTGACTTAAAGACACTAATAAGTGGACTCAAGACAACATATATTCTCAAAACTCTACCAAAAATATGTAAGAAAAGAGAGCTAAAGCTTACTAAATTGATTTTATTTCAGTTGTCATTTTTCTTTTAGTTCAGTGAATCAAGAGCACACGCTAATTAGTGCTTTATATACAAATTAACTTGCTTACCTGAAATACCACTGCCTTTTCAGCTTTTCCTGGTTGAGTAGTACCAAGGGTAAAGAATTCTGCATTAAGTGAATGGTTGCACAGTTGCTGGGGGGCTGAGGAGGAAGTGCCAAGTCAGGCAATTTATTTATGGTCAGTTGGTCATAAGAATGAAGTATGTGTACCTGCCTTCATTCCATAAAGTTATTACTGTAGCAGGATGTTATCTCTATAAGAAAACTAAAATGGCAATTTGGTCCTTGGTTTCCTCTTACATAGTAAGGAGATTGACCTAGTAAACTCTAAAAAGTATATTTCTGCTATAAAGTATGTCCAAAAGTCACATTCAAATAAAATTTTTAAGTCAGATTTTATTATAATTGTACAATATAAAACCTATAAAACTTCAGTTAAGTAATTCTGTGAGGAAGTCACTTTTTAAGTGAGCATTTTTTAAATTGTTTTGTCAGTTCATATTTTCTTAAACTTAGTAATTGTGTTCTTTCAGTCATTTTAAAAAGTTACTATATTTTTCAAAATTAGAAACAAGCTTCACATGAACAATTTTGTCCTCAGAAAAGTTCAGTTACTTTACATTAGATAAGTCCCATAAAATTGTGTTTTATTTAGAACATACCTCAGACTTCTTTCATAAGAGTAAACTTCTAAATGTTACATTTGTCCATTCTAAAGAAATCAGTATTACTCTTCTCTTCTTCACTGATTTGTTCTAAATTGTGCTTATACAATAAAATATAGTACATAGAAAATAGTATGTGTTACATATAGTATATAAATAGTATGTAGAAAATGCTTAAGTGGCATTTTAAAGAAACTTATTTTTTAATGATTTTAAATTTTCTTTATTATCAATTTATTCTCAGAGACTAATATTTAAAGAGTTTCTAGGGGCGCCTGGCTGGCTTAGTTGGTGGAGCATACGACTCTTGATCTTGGGGGTTGAGTTTGAGCCCCGTGTTGGGTGTGGAGATTACTTAAAAATAGTCTTCAAAAATAAATAAATAGAGAGTTTCTAAAGCCATGTTGAAATATTTAAAATAAGATATAAGGTGATTTGGGCACCTGGGTGGCTCAGTCAGTTGAGTGTCCAACTTTTGATTTCGGTTCAGGTCATGATCTCAGGGTTGTGAGATCCATCCCCACGTGGGGCTCCGCGCTGGGTGTAGAGCCTGCTTAAGATTCTCTCTCTCCCTCTGCCCCCACCCTGACTTTCTCCCTCTTAAAAAAAAAAAAAAAAGGAGTTGATTTATATATTGCTGCATCAATTTTAAGGATTCTTGGAAATACCAGTTTTATTTTATAGATTAATTAGCTTGACATTAAGATAATTTCTTGCTCTGATACGGTTTTGTGTTCTTTCCTCTGAAGTGGGTTTCCTTCATAGCAGGGCACACATTATACTGCAGTGTACTGAATCCTCTATGATAATGGTATGAACAAAGTGCTAAGAAGTTGAAGAAATGGAGCGTATAGAGATTCTTCAAAGAGGAAGTGACATTTAAACTGTCCCTAGGAAGATTAGTAGAAATTTCTTGGCAGAGAAAGGGGAATACAAGTAGTCTCAAGAAACAGAATATTCTGGTGTTGATAAATCATAGTTATATGTTTTCTAAAAACAATTAAAATGTTTGAAAATATTATGGTGACTGATGGTAGCTGCACTTGTGAGCATAGCATAATGTGTAAACTTGTCAAATCACTGTTGTACACCTGAGACTAATGTAACACGGTATGTCAGCTACACTCAAATATACCTAAAGCTATACTAAAAAAAAGAAATAAATATTTTTTAAAAAGAAAATATTAAAGTTAACATTTGAGCAGTGTGTCATTAAAATGTATAGTTTGATCATATATATTAAAAGAAGTTAGGGCTTAAAATGGTTCTTAGCACCTGTAATTTCAGGATGAGTAAATTATTTTATTTTATTTTTTTTTACAAATCAAATATATTTTATTTTATTTATTTATTTATTTGACAGAGAGAGACACAGGGAGAGAGGGTACACAAGCAGGGGGAGTGGGAGAGGGAGAAGCAGGCTTCCCGCGGAGCAGGGAGCCTGACGGCGGGGCTCGATCCCAGGACCCTGGGATCATGACCTGAGCCGAAAGCAGATGCTTAATGACTGAGCCACCCAGGTGCCCCACAAATCAAATATTTATATATATATGTCCCCCCAAAACTTGTCTTGGATCAACAATAACACAAAGGTTCACAATTGGAAGAAAATCTGTTCCCATGTCCCAGTGCCTTTAAAGCCATAACTGAAATACTCGAGCTCTGTGCTTGTCTTATTCTCCTTTTACATAGTGATACCACAGATTTCTTTATTCACTTAAAAAATGTGCTGAATGCCTACAATGCGCTAAATACCACATTAGATGCTATGGTACCAGCCTGCGAGAAGCTCTCAGTCTAGCATGGAAGTCAGATTACAGGTAGTCATTTAAACCTTGGATCTTCCCCACTTCTGTAAAAGCATAACCTCAAGCCAAAAATTGGGGACTTGTCTTTGATTCCTTTCTCTCATTTCATATACCCAGTGCATTGTCAAATTTTGTCACTAATGTCCTTAGTTTTCCTCTTCTATCCTGTATTTCTACAGCCTTCACTTCTATTTTCTTATTTCTCAGGATGGGTAAATTATTTATAAAATAATTCCATTGGGAACATTTGGGATCTTCGGAGAAGGAAAGAATCATGTGAGCAATCTAACTTCAACTAGCATGAGGAAAGAGAAAGGGCTGATTCCTTCTAATTCTTAGGGAATTGAGATAAAGCACTAAGGGTTTATGAAAGATCAAATAAGAAGAGACAGACTACCTTCCACTAGCAGAAAGGGCAAAGAATAAAAGAAAATCTCTCTTTGAGGGAAGCAGAAGTTTAAAATTCCATGAATAATTCTTGATATAATGGAAAATAATAATCCTTTAAGATTGAGTGACATTCATTCTGAAATAAGTTATGATTCTAAATGGTATGATCTTTTCTCTAAAAGACTACTTAGAGGAAATGAGATGGACATTTAGTTTGTATTTCTATTAGAATTTTTTTCCTCATTCATTTAGTCACCAAATTTTATTGAATTCTCAGGCTTTGTGTATGTTTTTATTCCTTTCACTTTGGGTTATCCCATTTTTGGGGGGCAGATAGCTGAAACATGTAGAAAGGAGAATTTATGCCTATAAATGTAGTTTCCATATGTCAGAATACTAACAGTGCTACTCATTTTATCTTGTGTTATAAAGAACCTGAGTTTTGCCTAATTTGGAAAACTTTTTTCCAAAATCAAAGCATAGCCTTGATTTTCATTCCTTCATAGCAACACATGTTCTATCAAGTCAGGGTGATGTAATTATGCCTTCTGAGGGAAGGCACCAGATTGAAATATTATTTTCTGTGGGTTTTCATTGATACTTACCATTTGGTGAAGAGAACATTCTATTTCTTCAAATTAGTGGACTGATAGAAAAAATGGTTTTTCCAGAAAATTGTTTCTCCTATTAATTATAAGACTGGAACCTTAAAAAATCCTAATCAGAGGGCAGTGATTTTTATCTGCATTGTTCACTGAAATGTCCAACGACTTACCCAAAGTGTCTTTGTAGGTATTGAACACACATTTGTTGAATTAAAGAATCACTAGTATACCTTTTAATTGATAAGTTCAGTTTTTTTATTCTTCTGATTGACCTTTGATCTGAACAAAGTGCATCATTTTTTTTCTTTAACTAGGTATTCCTTTTCCCTGGAAAGCATGGGAATACGTTCCTCCAGCTCCTTGATAAAAGTGGTTTGTGAGTTAGGAGCATATGCCTATATTCCCACCCCTACACACTTCAAATATTTATAGCTATTTACAGTGTACAAATCCATATAATTAAAGAGCAGTGCTGGAGATAATTAACACATACACAGAATCATGGAGTTTTGTTTTTGTTTTTGTTTTCATTTTTCTAAGGGACTTTAGAGATTATCCAACCCAACTCCCTCATTTTATTGAGAAAATTAAAGTCCTGAAAGGTTTTTTTAAGCCCTGAGCCCCTCTGCTAATTAGTCTTATTGCAAAACTAGAACCCAGGCCCTGACTCCCAGTCAAATGTTTTTTTCACACACATTATAAATAGCTTTGTCAAGATGAAGGCTTTTTCCAGTTAAAATATTGATTCACTATCAGGACACCTTCAGGCAAATATTTTAATGCCCAAACTATTAAAAAAAAAACTTTTCCCCCCAAATATAAAGAGTATTTCATAGCCAAAAATTCTTTTGAAGAACCTGTTCTTCCCAACCTATTAATGCAGAGAGTATTGACATGTCTGTCAGTAGATAACACTTTATATTATCAGTCGGTAACCTCTTAGATTAGTATTTTACCACTAAAGAATTTAAACTAGTTTTAATATCTTGAATTGTATGAAAGGAAATTGGCTTCTGAACGGTGAAGTACAAATATGAGTTGAATATTCTCAGTTGCTAATATGCACACTCTTGTGGGTTTGGTTGCTGTGTCTATACCTCAACAAGGAGGCAAGTGAGGACCTATGTGGTTAACTAGGTCACTTAAGGTAAGGATCAATCTGAATAACAACAGCCTATGTTATAACGGCACTAATTCTGTATCAAAAGTGCTTTACCCATAGCAATCTTTGTATTTTAGGTAAAAGTAGTAGATTTGTATCCCAATTAACTAGATTTTTTGTCGTTTTTCCTTTAGTTGGATTGATACAGATGGGAATTTAAAAGTGGTTTTCTTTCCTTTTTTTTTTTTTTTTTTTTGCCAAAAACACATACATTTGAACTTGGAGGAGGGCATACAAGAGGAAATAAATTAACTAAAGAGAGAATCTTTTTCTCTCCCAACCTTCCTCGATAGAAGTCTATAGCTTCTCAGCTACCACATGCTCTGCCTCTCCCTCTCAGTAGTCCCTTGATGGTTCCCCACAGTCAGATAGAGTATGAGAATCCCATTAAAATACCTTTATTCACAGTACCATCGATTAGAGAAATTTCTCTTTTCAGATAGACCATTATATTAACACTGAAAACATCATTTTACATTCAGAGGAATATGCAAATCTCAAATGTTCTATTTCAAATAAGGTCCTTCTCAATGTTTATCTCAGCATTTGGTATTTAGTATTATTTTTAAAATAATTTCTACCTTGGATTCCATTTCAAAGTGAATTTTATAAACAGGAATTATTAGTTTTATATAGGTTTATTTTTATTTCTCCATGTTTCAAAAACTAAATTGATATACTTTGGATAAATAAACGATATTCATAAAATATCACTTTGTGAAAGGTAGAAAAACATCCCAAGACCAATGATACAATATTTAATTACTAATTTTTTTAATGAGTCCAGAATTTAAAAGCAGTTCCATAAATGGAATTAGGTCATTAGAAATAAAGCAGAGGGAGTGTGAATATTGGGATAAGCTTCTAGTTGGCAGTATAGTTAACTAACTAATTCTATGTAGAGTCTAGAAAGGATAAAGAGAAACAATTTTGATCAAATATATGAAAACTAAACATTCTTTAAATGTTAAAATTGGAAAATTCACTTAAGTTTTATCAGTTGGAGGTGACAGTATTACCTGAATAATCTAGTGTTTCTGTCCATTTAAAATGATCTCCTGGTTAACATAAAGATTAACATGTAAAAACATATAATAATGGTCTGACTAACGAACCATGAGAGACGATGGACTCTGAAAAACAAACTGAGGGTTCTAGAGGGGAGGGGGGTGGGGGGATGGGTTGGCCTGGTGATGGGTATTAAAGAGGGCACGTCTGCATGGAGCACTGGGTGTTATGCACAAACAATGAATCATGGAACACTACATCAAAAACTAATGATGTAATGTATGGTGATTAACATAACAATAAAAATTTAAAGAAAAAAAATAATGGTCTGACTAACATGTAAGAACACAGTGAGCAAAAAACTGAATTACTTGTTTAACTCTAAAGTTCCTCTTGTTGGTTTGTCAAATCTTCCAAAAGATATTATAGAAACAGTCCATACAGCATAAATTTGTTAGGATTGTATTTTTCAGATGCTGCTTTTTAAAATAACCCTGATTTTAAAATGTAGCCAAGAACTACATGCTCAGTTTCTAAAATGTTTATAGAAAATATGTTATAAATGTGGAATTTAATTATGTAAAGTACTATGGATTTGGCTTGCCAAGCTTTTGTGAAATTGATCCTTAATTTATATTACTTCACTCTTAATATTTTACTTCATGATATTCCACCATTTAGAGTTGATAATTTACTTATGTTACATATAATAAATTTTATAGTGTGACATAATCAAAATTATATAATATATCTGTAAAAGTGGAATTTTGAATAATGTTAGGAATATACTTTGAAAAATTTGATGCCTGAATCTGAGTGATCAAAAATATTCTTCCACTCAACATTGGACAATAATTAAAATGTTATTTTTAGGATATTTTTCAGATTTTTTTGGACTGACAGAGTCAGCACATTTTAGCAGAATCTGATTTATCTAACAAGATAAATTGACTTGGATTTTAATGTAAGACCAATTTTTTTTCTTTTGTTAAAAGTACACAGCTCATAACCTGCTAAGCTCAAAATATGCAAAGAAATTTCAACTTTAAAATTGATAATCCATTTTGAATTATAACAAATGCTTGAAAGGAAAGCCAAAGCTCTTTTCACCATAAAGAACCTATGGAAAAGAAATTTCTTTGCCATTGTAAACAGGTACTAAAGAAAAAGTGAAGAAATTCAGCAACTTTAAAATTATTAAAGGAAATTGATAACAAACTGAATGAGTCCAAAGTATATGTTCAGAACCCAATTTATGTAATGATATGGCCATAAGCATCTTCCTGAAGTCTTTGCTGAGATTCAGTTGCCTAAATTCCTTAATCATTTTTTTTGCCATTTAAATGTCATTATCTTAATAATAATTAACATTTAAAAAAATTTTGCTTTAGTTACTTTAGTCATCTTTGATTTTTTATATTCTTTTTGGAAAATGTTCCAGATATTCTACAAAATAAAAAATTGGATGGTGATTTTTCTTAAAAGCGTTTATTCTCCTGAAAGCAACCACATGGGAAATAAGTTTATTTATGCTTTGTATAATTTGAAAATTTTTAAAACAGTTTATTTTCAGATCCGTATTTTACATTGTGCTGTTTTTTTGTTTTGTTTTGTTTCTTTATTTGTTTTATTTCAATAGCCTTTTATGTCACCTCGGTACCCTGGAGGTCCAAGGCCCCCACTGAGGATACCTAACCAGGTAAGATTCATGTGCTACTTAAGTCAGTGGTTTTTGTTGTTGTTTTTAAGAATCAATAAATATCTTTAAAACGTCACGAATATTTTTTTCCTATAAAAATATTAAATTAGCCTTTCTCTATCCCATTTAGTGCTACTTCTGGTAATACATAAACTACTTCAAGGATTGGCAAACTACTGTCCATATGTTGGCTGACTGTTTTTGTAAATAAAATTTGATTGGAAAACAGCAACTCATTCATTTACATATTGTCTGTGACTTCTTTTACACTGCAGTAGATTTGAATTGTCATGGTGGAGACCATATGTAGCCTGTAACCCTCAAATACTTACTATCTGGATCTTTACAGGAAAAAAGTTTGCTGAGCCTTGAAGTCTACCATATACTTTGAACCTAATTGTTTATGTGTATATATATAATTTTGGTAAATGCTAGACATGGTTATTTAAAAGAGGACAAAATTTTCTATGAACATACTTTGCTTTATTTTTATATAATATGGTTTCAATATCATGGTTATAATACTCCTATCAGTTTTGCCCAGTTATAATGATATATCGAGAATATAATTAGCTGCTTCTAGAAAGGTTAGATCTATTAATAAGTAAATCGTTAGTAATAGATCTTCTAATTTTTTTTACCTACTAGAGCTCTCTGAGATTTCATAAGCTTTTATTCTTACATGTTTTTTTTAACCAATGTCAGAAATATTTATTAGCTGAAGACAATAAATCACAATTTTTACTTGCAAGGAGTTTATAATTTAGTTTTAAATACAGAAAATGTACATTTATATAACACAAGAAGAAATTAAATGCTTAATTTTATGGAACATTTATGTCGAGTAATTGTTTTGTTACTTCCTTTAATTCTGTTATTGTATGTCTCAGCATTTTCCAAGATCTAAAGTAAGCCCTGTTATTCCAGTAAATTCTTTCTCATTCTTACTCTCTTTCTATCTAAACGTCCTTCCTGACCAAAAATGTAACAAGAAAGTTGCACTTCCTAGCATATTTGATAGCAACAGAGTTCTGCTTCTCCTCTCCTAACTCTTGCTGAAATTATGCAGTGTCCTTGAGTATCCCAGTTTGCTGGTGTTCTCTGCTTCTCGTGCACAGCAAGGATGCCGGCACCCACATCCACCCCAAGGGAGAACGTTAAACAGGCAGCAGTGCTGGATCTTCTCATGGTTATAGTGCTGGGAGTCCTCACATTAGCAGCTGGAGGAGCTTTTCCCTTCACACCCAATCTGCATTCAGTACGTAGGGCCAGGGAAACATGGCATGAAATAGGAAAAGGAAGTGCACAGATGCCAAGTGTTGCCAACATATGGGAATTTTATTTTCTCTGTGGGTGAACCTGTGTATATTAACAGTCAGATCTACTTATATAGGTGCCCGAGTTTTTAGAATTTCCTTCTAAACAATGGAAAGTTGTATCTTCCATTGGGGTCTTCATGATGTTTCAGATACCCCATCCATAGCTTTGTATGTTATTTAGATCTAAGAGTTTCCTGAACATCTGAATTAGGGAAATGTGAATTTCTTGTACCAAGAGTGTTACTAAAAATTTTTTGGCTCCATGTATTCGATATCAATGATGAAAATCTGTTGGGATTGTTGGAATTGGATCCATTTGGCGTTGTTGAAATGCCTGCCGTATGTAAATACAATGCTGGGTTCCATATCTACCGAGACTCATAAAATGGAAAACACATTTTGTGGAAGAAGAATGGGTGTGGTAAATCTAGATTGTTTGAAACTTTTTTAAGAGCAAGTACATGATGCCTTTGGATTTTTAAAAGAGGCAATTAAAATTTTAAACTTAATAAAGAATATGATTCAGGCTCTTTTTCCTCAAGAATTTTAAACAGTCTTTACCTAAGTATATTTTAAAATAATTATACTCCTGTTTGAGTGGCTCTTTTTGTCCACTCATCCCCCCCCCACACTTTATATAGTTAAACTTCATTAATTCAAGCATCTGTCTTTCAAATGTATAATAATTTACATTTATACTATTTTTAAAAAGAATTTTCTGAGCAAATTAATTGTGTTAATAGTGGAAACATTGTTTTAGGAAATGTTTAACCTGTTTAGGATCATGACCTTTCCAAGCAACAGAGTGTTTCTTCAATTTTATTATGTAGTCATTAAAGTAGAATTGGAAAAACTATTTTTGATGATTAATTGGAATCTTGCATATAAAAACAACACAAATATAGAAAAGCAAAGCTGGCGGCATCACAATTCCGGACTTCCAGCTCTATTACAAAGCTGTCATCATCAAGACAGTATGGTACTGGCACAAAAACAGACAGATAGATCAATGGAACAGAATAGAGAGCCCAGAAATGGACCCTCAAACTCTATGGTCAATTCATCTTCGACAAAGCAGGAAAGAATGTCCAGTGGAAAAAAGACAGTCTCTTCAATAAATGGTGTTGGGAAAATTGGACAGCCACATGCAGAAGAATGAAACTGGACCATTTCCTTACACCACACACAAAAATAGACTCCAAATGGTTGAAAAACCTAAACGTGAGACAGGAGTCCCTCAAAATCCTAAAGGAGAACACAGGCAGCAACCTCCTAGACCTCAGCTGCAGCAACTTCTTCCTAGAAACATCGCCAAAGGCAAGGGAAGCAAGAGGAAAAATGAACTATTGGGATTTCATCAAGATAAAAAGCTTTTGCACAGCAAAAGAAACAGTCCACAAACCAAAAGACAACCGACACAATGGGAGAAAATATTTGCAAATGACATATCAGATAAAGGGCTAATATCCAAAATCTATAAAGAACTTATCCAACTCAACACCCAAAGAACAAATAATCCAATCAAGAAATGGGCAGAAGACATGAACAGACATTTTTCCAAAGAAGACATCCAGATGGCCAACGGACACATGAAAAAGTGCTCAACATTGCTTGGCATCAGGGAAATCCAAATCAAAACCTCAATGAGATACCACCTCACACCAGTCAGCATGGCTAAAATTAACAAGTCAGGAAACGACAGATGTTGGCGGGGATGTGGAGAAAGGGGAACCCTCCTACACTGTTGGTGGGAATGCAAGCTGGTGCAACCACTCTGGAAAACAGTATGGAGGTTCCTCAAACAGTTGAAAATAGAGCTACCATACGATCCAGCAATTGCACTACTGGGTATTTACCACAAAGATACAAATGTAGGGATCCAAAGGGGTACGTGCACCCCAATGTTTATAGCAGCAATGTCCACAATAGCCAAACTATGGAAAGAGCCAAGATGTCCATCGACAGATGAATGGATAAAGAAGAGGTGGTATATATACACAATGGAATACTATGCAGCCATCAAAAGGAATGAGATCTTGCCATTTGCAACGATGTGGATGGAACTGGAGGGTGTTATGCTGAGTGAAATAAGTCAATCAGAGAAAGACATGTATCATATGACCTCACTGATAGGAGGAATTCTTAATCTCAGGAAACAAACTGAGTGTTGCTGGAGTGGTGGGGGGTGGGCGGGATGGGGTGGCTGGGTGATAGACATTGGGTAGGGTATGTGCTATGGTGAGCGCTGCGAATTGTGCAAGACTGTTGAATCACAGATCTGTACCTCTGAAACAAATAATGCAAGATATGTTAAGAAAAAAGAAAAAGAAGAAGATAGCAGGAGGGGAAGAATGAAGGGGAGTAAGTCGGAGGGGGAGACGAACCATGAGAGACGATGGACTCTGAAAAACAAACTGAGGGTTCTAGAGGGGAGGAGAGTGGGGGGATGGGTTAGTCTGGTGATGGGTATTAAAGAGGGCACATTCTGCGTGGAGTACTGGGTGTTATGCACAAACAATGAATCATGGAACACTACATCAAGAACTAATGATGTATGGTGATTAACATAACAATAAAAATTTAAAAAAACACAAATATGTTAAGTATTTTTTTATTTCATCTTCATTTAGAATGATCATAAACTAATTAAAATTTGTTTTTCTGATAGATTGTATCTAAGAAAATATAAAGTGAAATACTCTCCAGGGGTATTAAATAATCATTTTGAATATGTAAAAGATATTCCTTTAATAAACAGATTTTTCAGAATTTATAATTTCTAATGATTAGACTGTAGATTTGAAGTTCTCCTGAGATGGTTTTTATGGTTCTAGACTAAATTCACAATGGTTTATACTAGTTGTACATTTTTAGGACTGGGTATTTGGAAGATGGTATAGTATCACTCTACCAAAAAAAATATAGGAAAGGGTAATGGTCTCTAAAAAATGGAAGAAAAGTAGAATTACAAAAATATACAAAGAACATATTGCAAATCATATTTGCAGTATATAGTGCAAAATATACTGCAAAGAATAAATATATATAAAAACATATGAAACATAGAAATTAAGTCCAAAAAATATATTTGACTATACAATTTTACACTGAAATTGGCTCAGCTGTCAGAATAGGTCGTTGAGGAAATCGAGGCAGCCAAAAATACAGAGACTGTTAATGAGTGACACCAAGAATAAACTACTGATTTATTGATTCTGTAGAATTTTTAGTTAATCCTTTATTTCTGACCATTCCTGAAACTCTGTAAACAGGTATGTGACGTGGTTAATGCTCTTGATCATTTTATATTCTAAAGCTGATATTGGTATTCTAAAAACACACTGCATCTGACCATTCTACTAATTCTAAAGGTAATTTCTCCAATAGTAGTTGAGTAGTTAAATACATGATGACGGAATCAAATGGTGAAATAGTATGCAGCTACTGAAAGGCATGTTATAGAATTAAATTTTTGATGGGATAAAATGTTTATGATCTATTACCAGCTATAAGGAAGTCACAAAGCACATGTACTATATCACCTTTTATATATCACTGTACAAAATCAATTTCCCCAACTTGCCACACACACATACGCACATTTGTCAAAGACCGTAAAGGCTATGTCCTTTATTTCTGGATAATAGAATTATGAATGATTTCTTTTTTTATTTCTGCATT